ATAAATTAGCGTTAAGACATTCTTGTTCTGTCTCGTCCCTTTCTAAATTATTTTCACACTCCTTTGCTAGCTCATTTTGGCTTTTTGCTGAGCTGCATGTACCTTTTGCTTTAAAATTAAATGGTTGCTTGAAATCAGTTCTTGAAAAATAGATTCTAGAAAAGTAACTGAAATGCCATTTCTCCTTAGGCTGCCTTACGACGCACAGATGTCATTCTGGAAGTAGGCCCGGGAACCGGTAACCTGACAGTGAAGATGCTAGAGAAAGTAAAAAAAGTGAGTGTGAATTCCCCTTTCCCGCTTTTCATACTCAAACCGCATTGTGGCTTAGACTATGGCAAACAGAAGGCTCTTCATCTGTTTGATTCAAATAAGTAGAATTACTCTGGATATTTTTCCTAATACCTGCATAATTCCAATGAGTTTTAGCTGTTCATGTAAATCTTGTATATTTATGTTAGGCATTTATGATAAGGCTTGTGTGTTTTTAGGGAGGGATGAAGGTGCATAGCGTAATAGGGAGTTTTTAAGAATTATTTAAACAGAATTACTTATTGTATCGGTAGATACAGAGGGGTTTTTTAAAATTGTAACTTTAATCCCAGTTTGGAGTTGTATAAAGTTGCAAATAGATACTTTGTTTTCAGGTTATTGCTTGTGAAATTGACCCTAGGCTTGCTGGTGAACTTCAGAAGAGAGTCCAGGGCACGTAAGTATCAACTGTGCAAAAAGCAAACACTTAAACCAGTGCAGCTGCTGCTTTGGCAAAAACTCTGGCAATGTGCTTCTTTGTGGATAACCACAGTGTATTTTTCCCCAGATGTCTGGCAAACAAACTTGAAATCAAGGTTGGAGATATTTTGAAAACAGACTTACCATTCTTTGATGCATGTGTGGCTAACTTGCCTTACCAGGTATGGGCTAAACAACATCGTTAGACTTTTTTCTTTTTACATGATAATTGCCCAGAAATTATACTAACACTCTTACTCTTTTTCTCAGATTTCTTCACCTTTTGTTTTCAAGTTGTTACTTCATAGACCTTTTTTCAGGTATGTGGAAGAAGAGAGCTGTGTATTACCTGATAGGAAAAAAAAAGTTTAAAAAATACTCCAAAATAATTTTTTTTCTAAAGTATCAGTTTGATGGATCAGAGCCACACCAAAATTATTGTGTAATATTAAACCAGTCAGGGCCTGGAAGATAGTTTATGTCAATGCATTAATCATAAGGAGAAGATTTAGTCTTGGTATCAGTGCGTGTCCTGCTGATGAAAACAGAAGTTGCACTTCTTTACACTGGTGTAAGAATGAATTGTTGTTCTAGGGATAAGTAGGATATTGTAGCATTTTGGATGCCTTCCTGAGAAAGGAAGGGTAGAAAGGGTAGGGTCAAAGCCAAGACACTTCGTTTTGTCTGGTCTAAAAATGTGATTGCCCAGGTACTTCTGTGTGTTGCTCAAGTGTATCAGCAGGTCTTGATTGCTTTCACTGAAGCGCTAATATTAGTGACATTACTGGTCAATTTGTGAAGCTAGAGAGTTTAGATTTGAAGAATCATGGAATTATTCAAAATTATTTGTTACAGTCAGGCACAAACCTGAGACTAGCCTCTGTCTCTGATCCTGATCCATTTAGCAGAATAAAAAATAAAATTCTATTGTAGCTTTAAAGGGATTTAGATTGTTTCACCAAGTTTTGTGTGGTTTTTTTAATGCACGCCAAGCTAATTAAGGCAGAATTTGTTTATAGCAAACATTTATTGCTTCTAAGTGCTGAGAAAAATCTTGTGTTTTCCAAATGTGTTAGTTGGCTTTTGACATAAAAGTTGATTATTTAGACTTCATTTTCTCATTTCTTTTATTCTTAGGTGTGCAGTACTTATGTTTCAAAGGGAGTTTGCACTTCGTTTGGTTGCAAAACCAGGAACTAAACTGTACTGCAGACTTTCTATTAATACTCAGTTACTAGCTCGGGTGGACCATCTAATGAAGGTATGTCATTCTGCATGAGCTAACAGAGCTCTGTCAAAGATAGGAGGTGGTTTCTAGGAATGTGAGGATTTGCTGCTTTTTCATACAGCTGCCTAACTTCTGACCAACAGGTTGGAAAGAACAACTTCAGACCTCCTCCCAAAGTTGAATCTAGTGTCGTTAGAATAGAGCCAAAGAACCCACCACCACCAATCAATTTCCAGGTAAGCATCGTATACTCTGTTAACAATGTAACATACTAGTGATAATACATAATTTAATTTTTCTTTTCATTTATTATTCAGTTCCATGTGCTAATTCCAAAATACTTACTCTGTTGATCAGGCTTGTGTTAGAGCATTACCTGAATGCGCCACCATCAGTTTGGGAGCAGCTTTGTTTACAGTATTTCTGACAAGGCTGAGGTACCGTCTCCATGTCAGTTGGAGAGTTGCTAGTAATGATGTCCCTTTCATTGTAGTTTATATCTCCCAGAGGCCCTTCTGGCTGATGACTTCGTTGGTTATGATCAAAGGAGTATCTATGAGAAGTGTTAGCTTCAGATGAGTGTGTATAATTTCAGAAGACAGATGTGTTATATGGTAATTTCTTAAAGTTTTAAAATGCTTTGATCTTCAAGACCATTTCAGCCTTGCCTGAGGTTAGCCAGATTTCCTTCAAGTTATCTGCCTTCGTAGCAGATAAGATCTGGCCCATAGTGCCTAGGCATGAAAAAGAACAATTTTTTTGTGGGTGACGTATTTTCTCCTGCATTTGCACTGCTTTGTCCAAGACAGATTGATTTTCTATTGTTTAGAGAGTTTTCTTATGTTCAATATTGTTGTCAAATTGTCAGTAGTGAGTGTTCTTGTCTGTAGTAACTGTACATTCCTTTCTGTAAATTCTGAAATTCTTTGTTTCAGGAGTGGGATGGCTTGGTAAGGATAGCCTTTGTTAGGAAAAACAAGACACTTTCTGCAGCATTTAAGTAAGTAACTTATATTAAAGGGAATCTTTTCAAAGTTTGAGAGTTCATCCATTTAACCATTTTTTTTGTGCAAACGCATAGTGATGCTATGTGCATGCCAGCACACTCTGGGCTAAATCACAACGAGGATTTATGCTGAGGTCACAAGCTTTTTCTTTTAGAAGACAACTAGGCAGGTGTTTAAAAAGAGCAGCTCTGTGTAGTCATTACAGTTTTTTGTAGTAAAAAATTAGCAACCAATCAAGTAAAACAAACAAAAAAAACCCAGTTAAAGGTCAGTTTTCATTCTAAACTTGTATTTCTTCCAGGTCAAGTGCTGTAGAGCAGTTACTAGATCATAATTACCGAATTCATTGTTCCTTACATAATACAGTAAGTTCTTTTATAATACATTAAATTCTGTTTCTGGGTACTATGACCTACATACTGACTTTTATTAGAGTAAAAATTTAACATTGAAAAGCGTTATATGTTAAAGTTTTTTTCCAAGAGAGTTGGAGGGATGAACTTTCCTCTTAAGAGAAAAATCTAAAAAGGTCACTGAATTACGGTGAAAAAGCTGAAAGCTGTATGTTTTTAATATACTGGCTGTACAAGTCTCAAGGACTAATCTAATAAGAAGTTGTTCTGTGTCTGCAGTACCACTGTGATTCATTTATAGTGAATGACCTGAGGCATAAAAATTCAGATACTACAGCAGAAGAATACAGTAACCCATACTAGAAAAAATACATTATTTCTATCACTTGAAACAACAGCTGTTGAAAAAGCAGGAATAGATTATTTAAATGAGCCTTTTTCTATGCTCTGAATAGAAAATTAATTTGTGTCCTATTTTTCATTGACAGGAAATACCTGAAAACTTCAAACTTGCAGAAAAGGTACAGGCAGTCCTGAAAAATACAGGTTACTCTGAAAAACGAGCCCGTTCAATGGATATAGATGATTTCATTAGGTATTTTTTTTCTCTATGCCTTCATTTTAAGCTTCTTCAAATTCTATTTGCAACTGTTCCTGTGTAGCACAGATTAGTACTGGGTTATACAGAAATAGTACTAACTCTTGCTTTCCTCTTAATACCAGAGACTCCTTGCGGAAGCAAGTCTTGAACATGACTAAACATTTAAACTCTATATATTTTAACTGCTGCTTACACTATTGAGAAGCAACTAGCTAGAGATCCCTATTTCTGGTATTTGTGTACTAGACCCTTCTGTGTCTCCTCTAAAAATAGCTTTAGTAATAGAATTGGTTATTATAATTTCTGTGTAGACTTGACGCAGCCCTTCTTTGTCTGTCTCGAGGATTAGGCCATAGTCTATAGCATTTTGGGGTCGGTCCTGTTTAATATCTTCATCAATGATTTGGATGAGGGGATGAGTGCACTCTCACTAAGTTTGCAGATGATACTAAGGAAAGCTCTGCAGAGGGACCTGGACAGGCTGAATCAATGGGCTGAGGCCAACTGTATGAGCTTCAACAAGGCCAAGTGCCGGGTCCTGCACTTTGGTCACAATAACCCCATGCAGCGCTACAGGCTTGGGGACGAGTGTCTGGAAAGCTGCAAGGCAGAAAAGGACCTGGGGGTGTTGGTGGACAGCAGGATGACCATGAGCCAGCAATGTGCCCTTGTGGCCAAGACCAATACCATCCTGGCCTTCATCAGGAATAGTGTGGCCATCAAGAGTAGGAAAGTGATTGTGCGCCTGTACTCAGCACTGGTGAGGCTGCATCTCAAATACTGCGTTCAGTTTTGGGCCCCCCACTACAAAGACATTGAGGCACTGGAGTGTGTCCAAAGAAGGGCAATGAATTTGGTGAAGGGTCTGGAGAACAAGTTTATGAGGAGTGGTTAAGGGAACTGGGATTGTTAAGTCTGGTAGAAAGGAGGCTGAGGGGACCTCTTCACTCTCTACAACTACCTGAAAGCAGGTTGTAAAGAGGTGGGTGTTGGTCTCTTCTCCCAAGTAACTAGCAATACGATGAGAGGAAGTGGCCTCAAGTTGCACCAGGGGAGGTTTAGATTGGATATTTGGAAAAATCTCTTAACTGAAAGAGTGGTCAAACACTGGAACAGACTGCCCAGGGAGGTGGTGGTGGTGTTCAAGAAGCATGTGAATTTGGCCCTTCGGGACATGGTTTAGTGGGCATGGTGGTGTTAGGTTGATGGTTGGACTTGATGATCTTAGAGGTCTTTTCCAATCTTAGTGATTCAGTAACTTGGAAATTTGAGTCATTAACTGCTGTATTCTGATCTTACTTCTGGTCAGTTAATGTAAGTGGCAAGATGTATCCTTTCTTAATTTAACATAATTCGTAGCTGTTTCTCAATGTAACAACTAATACAGCTACTACTCTTTAAAGAAATGTAGTTAACATGGTAGGATGCAATGTAGCTAAATGCACTGAAAATACACTACCTGTATTTCTGAAATGGCAAATTTGCTAGTAACTTATAGTTTTAGATTTGTAACAATTCTTTATGGTGGTTGAACAGTGATGGCTGCTTTCATACTATTTTTGTATGTTGTCAGCCAGCATATCTTAGAAATCTCTTAAGCTCATGTACAGATTAGTAGAAAGTGTAACATAAATATTTCACTCTTTCAGACTGTTGCATGGCTTCAATTCAGAAGGCATCCATTTCTCATAGATTCTACTAGAAGAATGAAAGACACTGGTGACAAAATATCGAACAACTTACCTAAGCCAGAGTGACTGCAGTGGGACAAACTCTTCTCACAAAAGCAACAGACAGCACAGTGTACATATTCTGGTTCAGTTTTATCACAGATAGAAGGCAAGAAGCTGCTGCTCTGTATTTTAAAAGTGATAAATTCTTTCATCACTGAAGCATGGTGCTGGACTTCCACATGATAGTGTATTTTTAAATATACCAAATAACATGGATTGATGGTATCATCATTGAAATCTGTGTTCTCTGATCATGGATGTCACCTCAGTATATTCTTGCACAGTACTCAACAGTACAACCCCTAAGTCTGGCCAAAACCAGTGTTGTAGCCATTCCATTTGTTTAGGATTTTTTGTTTGTTAGTTTGAAGTCTACTTAAAAACTTACTTTTGGTTTGAAACACCTGTTTTCCACTTGTCCTTGTAGCTACCCACATTCTAAGTCTGTTACTAATCTGCTTCTGTTGGAGAAATCCCAGTAACTTTCTCCAAAACAAGAGCATTTATCTTGTGGGCTTGGTATAATTTACAAAAACATTACAGAGGTACCTGAAACTACCCGTGTCATCTCATTTACCCACTCCTTGTCATCAAACCACTGCAGGAACCAGAAGAAAACTACCAAAGGGTCAGTTCTTGTAAGCACAGATAGAAGTTATTTTTGTCAACTGTAAATTCAATAAGCTATAAGAAAAATACTTCACCCTTCAAGGCAAGGAGTGTTAGCATAGATCAAAGGTTTCATTGAGTCTTACAGCAGTACATACCTGTATCTTGACAGAAAGACTTACTGAAGTGTCTTAATATCATTTGGGTTATATGTATTTGTTACTAAGGATAAGGCAGTTTTCCCAAGGAAGTTTGCATTATCTGCATAGCAGGTGTTAAAAGAAAAATCAACTTTGATTCATCTTAGGATTCAGGAAAACAGTAATAAGCATGGGCAAAGGCATTATATTAACTACCATGTCATTTTTTCATGTATATTGTTATCTCTTTCCATAAGATCATGGTGAGTAGAGTCTAAAGCAGCAAATTAGCAAAAACTCCTCTAATATATGACTTCATTTTATACACATCCAATGTCAGTTCTTTAAAAGCCATTGATTCAGAAGCATGTACAGAAATATGCACTTGAATCTGCAGGCATCCTGAGAGGCTGTCTTGGAAAACTGAATTGCTCATTTTAAAATTTAACTATTTTAGTGTTGCTTCACTGCATGTGGAACCAATTCATGAGTGAGATAAGTAGCCACAGCAATATGCTCAGACTGATACAGAAGGAACAAGTGCTGGGGATGTGTCGCACTTACTGCATGCTTGACAGAATCAAGATAAGCTTGTCTGAGTCTTCAAGTAATTCCAGTCCACCACAGCAGCAGGCTACAGGAATTCACGTGCAGCAACCAGCTCTATCAGTTTATCTTGGTTCTGACTGCTTGCAGTATCAGTGTAGATGTGATGCTTACAGCAGGCTATCACAGAGAATGTCTCTTTAACAGTCTCCTTGCAGTAGACACAATTTCAGCCTGCGTCTGCTACCTGACAGGACACACGTCATTTACAAGGCTTAGTGAAAAGCTGCTGAAGTCTTAACTGTCTTTCTCCTTCCTGTCCACTGGTACCTGTTGTAAATGCCAGCCTGGATATAGCTCTAGGCTTGCATGGAAGAATGGTACGGAAATCACTGTTTCTTATATAGGATGTCTTACCTTCTGTTTAATTGGTTTTTTCCTTTTAACTGTGAGACAAGCATTCTTAAACACACGGAAAGATGCATGTTTCTTTTAAGACTTGCAAAACTAAAGTAAGGACAGTGCTCTGCATAACTTCTTCCTATATGTCAAATTGATACAGAAGAGTTTGCTCCAGAAGCAAATACTCATTCTACAGTCAGAGGCCTTTTCAAAAGTGTAACTCCAATGTGCTTACTAAGAGCAACCCTCCCCAAAACACAACCAAACATTCATAGAAGTAAATTCACATCTGTAATTCATTTAATAGCTTAATTTATTAAACATTATGTAAAATCTACATTGTTTGTTTTCATGTTTGCACACAGGATTTATTTTTTTTTTATTTAAACATTGATGCAACAAGAGCTTCCTATAGCCTACCTTCCTATGGCAGATAAAAACATTAAACACTACAAGAATTTCTGGCTCATTTAACTCACTTTTCATTGCCTCCCCTTTATTTCCCTCTAGGCCTGGCACAAACAAACAGGCATGTATTCCAAAAGTAATTTTTAAACAGTTCCAAGGGAAAGTCTGTTGATAAAAACTCCGGGAAACAGGAAGAACTCTTAGAGAGATCTACAATTCTTCATTTGACAAGAAGTTCTTACATGAAAGGTCAATCTTTTGTGGATACTGCCTTGCACTTGAGTGCCACCACCTAAAAAGTGCTGATACGCATGGCGCAATTTGTGAGAATAAGTATTTGTGGGATTTCTATTAGCACTAGGTAGAGGTATTGTGCAAAACACTCAAATGATGCAATTTCACCCCACTTTTCAGCTGCTGGCACTGTGCAAAGGGAAAAACAGGTATTAACTAATTTTTTTTTAAAGCAACAGAACTACTCAAACTACCTGCAAACTACAGTTAATGTACATGTAAGTCTGTCATGCATTTTAAGCCAAATTTTATCAGTATGTGAAAGGCCAATAAGTAAGTATTTAGCTGGATCCCTGAACTTTGACAGTCATCATATCCATGCGCAGAGGTCAGAGCATACTTTTACTCTGACGGCACTGTCACACCATACCACATATTGTTTATCTGCGCTAGCCTATGATACAACTCTCCTTAGTACTTAAACATTACCCTTTATTATACATCAACTAATTTATATTTGTTTTTTTGTTCTTTTTTTATTACAGAGAAAATGATAGAATTATATAGTCATTCTTTATGGTATTCAAATAAATCTCAATTCCAGATTTTTACAAGGAGGATGGAATGTCCAGCTGTTTGTCCACTCTTAACAGCTCTTGCATGTCCCATTCAAATCATAGAATCACAGAAAGTATTGGGTTGGAAGGGACCTTTATAGGTCACTCATTCCAACCCCCCTGCAGCAAGCAGGGACATTGTTACTAGATCAGGTTGCTCAGAGCCCCATCAAGCCTGAATATCCCCAAGGATGGAGCATGTACTACCTGAGCAACCTACTCCAGTGATCTACCACCCTCATTGAAGAACTTTATCCTAAATGATATGGCACATCCTCTGAAATGAAGCTAGCCACCAAAAAAGTCTCAAAACACATTAAAATGTACACACACTAAAAGTAATTTATATTGACAAATAAGGAATGTTGTTTCTTAAGGCTGTGCTTCAGAATGAGGATGTTTAGGGTTAAGTAGCCTTCATCAAGGCACAGAATAGGAAGAGGTAAGCACAGCTGTCTGTAGAAGTAACTACAACCACTAGTGAGGTGTGCATGCACACAAACACAATTTAAAACTGCAGAGCTGGTCTTTGTAACAAAACTGAACATAGTCAAAAGGAAATACTGCAGCTTTTTATCAGCCACAGTTTTAACATGTGGCAAATATTTCCAAACATGAAATTCACAATTTTAGTAAATGAAACATTTTAAACAAAGTGCTTCACAGATCTGAACCCTGCATGGTTGTGCTGTCTGGTCTAGAAGCATTTTGTAGACATTGTAGAAGCATTTCACATAAAACTGAAAATGTCATTCAGGTTAATAAGAAACAGGACATTTCCACAGACATCTCTAACATTTTTACACTTTCAAGTAGTTGAGTTCTTACAGCCACTGGGTTTTGTAACAAACGTGTGCTACAGCAGTACAGGTTCATGGATTCCTTTACCAGGAAAGGCCCATTTCAAAGGGGACGTGGCCGTTTAGGGTTGATCTGTTTACTGGCCTGTTCTTCCTCTTGTAGAGCTGCCCGGAAAGATTTCACTTTATCTTTAATGAAAAAAAAAGAATGAGTACTGATGTGCCTGTGCTCAACACACATCTTGAAACTAAACGCTGATGCCCCACACCCTGGCCCTAGCGCACAACAAAGAACATTCCTCCACAAAAATAGCTGACTCTGTAAATTACAAGAGGACAGAGATAAGCTTAAATTCAATACTCACCATACAAACAAGTTGCTTAGCAACTTGGTCCCTTAGATGCTACCCATCTCTAAGAAGGATAGGTTTGGAAACTGCACAACTGCATTCCCACCATGTAACCCGTTCACACTTGAATTCTGCTTCTAGCTTACAGAGTATAGGGAGATACAAACCACATACAACCTTTTCCTTCCTAGCACCTTCCAAACCATTCTTAGAAGCGTAAAACTCCTGCCTTGTATTTAATGTACAATCAGTTACTTCCATACATTCTGAAACCTAGCAGAGTAAATTTTACTCCTCTGTTTATCTATGAATGTGAAAAGCATCTGTGATTAAATTTTGGAAGTTATTAACTGTAAATAGATAAATGCATCATTCATTTGTTTCATCGTAACTATAACAAGAAAGGGAGAAACCTGAGAAAGGAAGTGTGGCATCCTTTCATATTTCTATTCTTGTCTCCCTCTATTCCCCCCAGTAATTTGCCAAAGAATGGGAAGAAAACCAAAATGACAGCATAAATATGTCAGTCCCAGAGCAACAGGAATGAAAGCTGAAATATTCAGTGACCATTATGCAGCATGAGCAGAATGCAGATCATACTGGGAGAAAGAATATTTGCCTTAACATTTCTTCCCTCCTGTAAGAGTATATATGTATCATGTTGCCTGTAAAGATGCAAGGATCTCTGATACAGCCTTTACCTCCAGTACCTTGTTTCAAAAGCACTAAGTTTTCAAAGAACAGGGAGTCACCTAAACTGTGCTTTTTCCACTGTTTGCGTCTCAAATTGTCGTCTTCTGAAGAGGAAGCCATTCTCCATAAAAAACAAAGGAACATACCTCCACTTCTCTATTAAAGTACACTGGTGCCAGCATATCCTTACAAGGCAAGCAGGCCACATTGATGTATTCTTCTAACTTACTTTTTACTCAGCTTGTGTATCTACTCTAAGATTTAGTCTTACAAGGAGTTTTCTAGCACAGAAAAAAACCAACCCACTCCCATCCTTCAGCCCCTAACCCTTGAATTTTTACCAGTATATCATGTCTCCCTGAGTCCAAGTAGTTAAAAGAAACTAAAATGAAAAATTCATCTTGAGGTACCAAGCTGACAAGCTGGTTTTAGAAGACAAGTGGAAAAGTCATTTTTGGGCACTAAGAATTATCTGCAGTTTGTTTTTCAGCAAAGAGAGGCTGACAAAATTCAGGACAGAAAGGCTGCTGAAGAAAAAAGCAAGCTAACAACCCAGCTACTCAGAGCTCAATGCCACTCTTAAGCACCGTCTTAAAAATAAGAGCAGGCTTTCTGCTACACTACAGAATGGAACCGAGCAGGAACTGCAAGTTCCTACTACTTTTGCCTCATTGCATTACCTTCTTTTTTTTATTATTTTTTTTTTCTTTCTTTCTTTCTTTATTGTTATGGAACAAAGGAAAAGAAGAGTTGCAGGATCGAGTTTCTACTTCCTGGAGGTAAAGCAGAGGATTTTCCTTTAAACTAGGATAAACTGAGCACAGATGTAAACTTGTTCTTCAGCAGCAGGAAGTGTTCCTTTCACAGGACATTGCAGGGGAGCATAAAGGGAAACAGGACCCTTAAACACAATTACACTCTTTTCCTTGCTATTACTGCAAGGTTCCATGGCATACGAAACCACACTGCTAATAATGCTAACAAAAAGTGATTAAAAGCAATGTACCTCGAAGTTCAGTCAGAATATCAATTTTTTGCTCTAGAATTGCTTCAAGTTGGGTAGCATAAGAATCCACATCATAGTCTACTTCTTCTGTCATTTCAAGAAGAGCTTTTTCATCTTCCAGCCATCTAATAGATTCCTAGATAAAAGTTAAAAAAACCCCAAAACAATTAAATGTATTAGCAAAATTTCAAGACAAACAGATGAATTAGACCTTTTCTCAAGATGACCACACTTTTACTGTCTAGTCACCTTTAATTCCAAAATGAAACTTTATTCCTAATTCAGCAAAACTGTTTGTTTTCTACATTGTTTCTTAATTCCAGTGGCCATACCAGCAACAGGTAAACCCCAGCTACAGCAGCTCTCAAATTCAGAACATTAGATAGTTGTAAAGCTAAAAAACTCAGAGAACAGAACTTTGTCACCGTTATGTCCCCTTAGGCAGGTATCGAACTTTGAAGTAAGGCTTCATTTTTAAGTATGGGCTGGCTGCTGCTGACTACAATCATAGTGTTATTACTACAGTGAAGGAGCCAGGATGATTCTGTCCATAGTCAAAGCCAGTTTTGAGAGAAGTGGTATACAAGAAGAGATATTTTAAGTTCACTATTGCATGAGCTAACTCCCCAGATAAAAGTACAGTAAATGTTAATTAAAGCAGCTGTTAGACATCTTTGCACTCTGAATATTAAAAAGAAAGTGGGGAGGAAAAAAGAAAACAGAAGTCTTGCAGCAAAGAATGCCACCAGGAGCTTAATGCTTACAGAACCATGCAAATCTGTGATCAGGAGATCTGATCTCATTGAAAATGCTTTGATTTAAAAAAAGAAAGCAGCTGGCAGTTCTAGGCATGCTGGGCCTGAAATACTAAAATTAAGTCTTTCCCTCTGTGCTCAGTAGCCCAAGTAATATTGAAAGCATAGTCCAAACCCCATGTATGTTTTTTGGCTTTCAAGACAGATGGAGCTCATGTTGGGATAGGATTCATCTCATCTAATGTAAACTCGTACATCCAAGACACAAAGGAAGACCAGCACTTCTAGGGCATAATCTGTCCTGTTGATCTACTTTAGACATTTTTGTTGTTTTGCATCAGCAGCTTCCAGGACAAAGCTGACAGAAGACAACTGCTACCTGGCACAGTTGGTAGATTTTGTATTGGTGCAGCCCACCTCCACCCACAGAGGACACTGACAAGTGGTGCTGTGAATGAAGGGAGCGAAGGCTCAGACACACCTGCTCCAGTGACTGCCGGGAGGAGCAGCAATTTCCAGCAGGAGACCAGATGGACACACAGAGGCAGAAACATCCTAAACTAATGCAGCTTGTCTCTCCAGAAGTCGCAAGCATTAGAACACAGCTACAGCATATGGCTTATGGCTTACACACTTCAGGGCTAAGATTTTATAACAGCTAAATCTCTACATCTGTTGTAAAATGTGTTATTTAGCATCCTACTGTATTATAAATACACATCACTGTTACACTTAGATACCTAAATTCAGGAGATGTGTGTATTGCCAGCAGGTTTAATGCTCTGCTGCATTCTTGCAGCAGACGTGCTCCCCTAAAGACTTCAAGGTTTTGAACAGAAGCAACTCACATTTCCTACTGAAAACTAGTAACTCCTACTGATTACTACAATTTATTTAATGAATGTAAAAGGCTTAGCAGCCTGACCAGCATGACACTGCATGGGCAGTATTTCCTTCCAAAGACCCTGACTAATAGCAAGCGAAAAGCTTTATGTACCTGTAAAAGGAAGCAAACAGGCAGTTAGAAATACATGTGTCTCTTCTGGACCTCAGTATCTCAGAAGGAGATGTCACAAAAGGATACTTAGATGAGGTAATTGGAGGGAGTATTGCAGCATCTTAAAAGGGAGATGACCAAACAGAAATAGTGCTGATAGAGACATTACTATTAATTGCCAGCTCTGGCACAGGAATATGGGCACAGATTAGACAGTGAAATTGAGAATTTCAAGACCAATCTAGACAAACTCCCTGCAACTAGAAAAGAACAACAGTCACTAATGCTAGAAAAGGACTACAACAAAAGATAGAGTGAATAGTAAAAGTAGTAAAAAGAAAACAGCAACTTTTCTTACAATGAATACAATCTATTTAGGAATTTTACTCCATTTCTGGGATGATACAGCAATATCCTTCTCTTTCATTACAGGTACAAAGATTAATGGTTATGGTTTCCATCCCTATTTGTTTGCTACAATAGGTTCAGAATGGTAAAACAAATTACATATCTCTTGACAGCAGCAGAATGACCAGAGGATATCCTACATCTTCAGAAGTATGCACTTCCTTTGGGAAAACCTGAATTCCTGGATCATAATAGAACAAAGTGTAGTTCCATCCTTTACCTGGAAGACAGTCCTGTGGTCTTCCAGTACTTGCTCTTCCATCTCCACCATCTGTGACACAGCTTCATGGAAAGTAAACAACTGTGGAGAAAATTCCTCTTCCTAAAAACAACAGTTAAGCTTGTCAGTCTGGAAAGAACTGTGGCTGCATGAAATAAATCGGGTGTGATCCATATCATCACAGAACATGAGAAGAAATATGCAGAAGGCAGAACTTGTCAAAATAGAATACTGTTGAAAAGGAAATTTCTGAAAATGAGTGTGCAATAAATTCAAATGTCCACAGGGTTAAATTTCATTCATATTCACTACAATTTTCCAGCCACTAATCCTAGTGTATACATTATTAAAAAACCCCCAACAAGCTAAAAAGTGGAAAGAGGAAGTCACAGGGGAAAAATGCTAATTTCTAGTAGGTTTTAATGCAGAACTCTGGCTTTCTGTCAGGGCTTTTTGTCATGCATATTGCAACAAATAGAGAACAATTTTCAAAAAAGAGAACAATTACATTCAATACATTTCAGGAAATCAAAAGTAAATTAATCCTTTGGAAGAAAAGAGTTGAATAAATGTAAAGTGAGAAACCTAAAACGTATGTAATGATTAATACATAAAGTGAATGCACAACATCGATTTACAAACTGGGGCAAAGTGGGCTATTTTAGAAATTAACAGTTAACAATCAAAGGGGAAAGTGCTAGGTAGGCTTTAATGTTTTAGCAAGACAGTATAGTTCCTTACACAACTGCAACACATTGTAATGCTTAATTTAATTCAAGATGAACAACGAAATTGAAAAAATATGATCTGAAAGGATATCTGGCTGGAAGGACTGTCCAGTGGGAAGCTCTATGTTTTTATAAAATAGAGTCCTGAAACAAGAGCCAGTTACTAAAATGAGGTACAGCAGACACCATGAAGAGTGTCTGAGAAGTCAGAGTCCTGGAAACAGTAAGTTAAGATAGTAAAGATTTTTATTTTCTATCTTTCATCAGCATTTTTACAAATGAAGTTTTAATCCCTGTTGAACAATTAAGGAACCAGGACTACAGCTGATAATCAGCAATGAAGAGAAAATGCCCTTTAGAAGATGTTTCTCAGCTCCCCACTCCTGCAGCTCAGAGAGACATACTAGGAAAAGAATGTGGCTCTCTCCCAAGCAGTGCACTGGGGCTTCACCCCAGGAAAATCAGAGTATTGGGAAGAGGAATGATGGCATGGAATGATGGAATATTTCTAAACTCAGAGAAAGGCAAACTCACTTGAAATGGGTGTTGCAGGGAAATGCAGGGGAAATAATGCTCAAACACACAAGGAGTGTTAAAAAAACTCAAACAGATAAGTGTCCCAAGATACTTTTAACTGTCTAAAAAAATATGAAGCTATACTGGAAAAAATGCACACAAAAGAACACCAGAGCCTAAAGCAGACCCTGCCTAGACATTAAAAGCCCTAATCAACAAGGACGATAAAGAAAAGTAAAACATTCTCCTCTCACCGTTCCAGTAACATTTTTAGTTTTGGGTGGGTTTTTCGTATGGGAATGAACGTAATACCACAAAGTGAGAAGCTGAAGAGGCATACTGTATTTACTTAATTATCTTGGTAACAGGCCATAAGTACACATTAGTCTGGATTTGTTATCCTCTCTTTCCATGTAATGCTGTAAACCACTCACGTTTTGTTCACAGAGCAGTTTGAGATCATCTCTTTGAGGAGAGCTCCCCACACCCCACTGTGCCTCCAAGTCGTCAATCTGATCAGGAGCGTGGTGTACAACGGGACGTACATCGCCTGCAACACTAGGATCGACTGTCAGTTCCTTCACCCTGCGAGCAGAAAATGTTTCACTTCTGAATTAGCAACTTCCTGCGCAAAAGAATTGCAACTAAAAATAAAGCTCTATGGGTTGATGTGCAATTAATTCATTTAATAAGGATGATGATGTCAGCTTCACAAATTTAAAGTACTTTCAGTGACAAAAGGATGTTAGTCCAACTCCTAAAAAGCATGGACCAGTGAATTTCAGTTACTTGCAGGTGGATTCCAGTCCTTTAGCAAAGGCATTTTCTGACTAAGTATTACTACTCATTAACAGTTAAAAGGGAAAAAGTCTCCAAAGTCTCAATATTATCTCCTTAACAACAGGTAATATTTGAAACAGAAGTTCATTCAGCACCCTAAACCTGATCATCTTTCATATATATGTATGAAAACAGTTTTATTTTATAAAGAGAGAGAGTCAAATTACCCTAAACACAGATTTGACAAATTTGGTGCACTAAATGTACAAAGGTGACATCACCATGAAAAAACAAATGTATGAAGGAAACTAGCAAGCCTGGATAGAGTGTGGGTGTTTAGGGAGGGTGAACAAAATACTGGGAAGATGATTGCAGATCATGCAGAACCATCACCTGCCAAACAAAGTAAAAACAAAAGTAGGTGTGACTCAAGGCTAAAGGGGACTAATGAAAGGTTGTTCTGTAAAATTACGTAGCCAAAAAGAAAACTTAAAAATAAAGATTCCATGTATAGAATGAAGTAGACCTGGTGACTGAAGGAGAAAAGTCGTCATACTCATAGGAAGGAGAGAGATCAGAGCGACTGCCACTACCCTGTGAGAAGGGAATGTCCGAAGGACTAATTCCAAACTCCTTTACTCTGCAGCAGCAAAATACAGCAGCAAATTAAAAGAAAATGTTCTCATAAACACAGTTAAAACTACAACTCTTTGTTTAGCATACTTCTTTAATAGTTTAACTATAAAATAACTTTTATATTAAAACACAAATGTTTGAACGTATTTAAACCTTTAGCAGAGTTACAGATCACTAACAAAACTGAACAAAAGCAGTGCTGCTAATTTGCAAGGGACTATCAACTAACATAGCAATGTTTTCAGAAGAGTAACTCCAGATTTCAGTTCACGCAGTTAATAAAATTTGCTCTACATTCAGTATTTCACTAAATGGCTTTTAAAATACCAAGCCACTACCGCTACAAAACTTTAAATTCTATTCTGCCCCATCTTACACTGTCTATACACTGCTGTACAGCACCTAAAAACTAATTGTACTAAGAAAATGATACATTGCTATAAAAAACTGAAATACTACTCAAAACATATCAAGTAACTTTACAGTCACAGGCATTTACTCCGTAACATACAAATTTAACACCAAGGGAAAGAAACAGTTTCAGCACTACTACTTAGTGTACTAGAAATAGATGTTTAATTACTTTTGCAGTGTCCTTTCCTGTAGTCACTTCAGCAATGCATATTCTATAAAGTGTAAGAGACCCAGTGAGTCTTGATGAATGTGCAAGGTCCTTGGTTATATTACTGTAAGCAGGGAGTGGATGTCACCTCCTTACCAGGAAGGAAATCACAGAGACCAGTCCAAGCCGGCAGATTTGCCTCTAGGTCCCTTACTCCAGACAGACATTCGGGTATTGAGGGGAGCCAGCAGTAAGCTTTCCTAGCAGCCCTTTGTGCCAGTTAGGGACTGGCCAGGGTTCCAGACGTGGTTCTGCTCTGTCTCTCACTGAGACAAGCAAGCCATCAGACGGTAGCCTCTTCTGGCAAAACCAGGGTTTCTGATGGCCCAGCGGCATATTTGCCTCCTTCGTCTTTTGCAGCAAAGCGTGGGGTTCTGTGGGTCACAGGGGGACATGCAGGACCTGATCGCCTTATCTCCACAGACACTAAACAAAGGAGAACTGCAGCAAGGGAAGACTCCTTTCATACTCATTGTAGAGAGATGAACACTTTCAGAGAGCAGTACAGGTCTCAGATGTACTGCATCGGCCTCTGGAGGTGTTAATTTCTCTACACTGATTATGAAGTCACTGTTGGATTAACTGACTCTTTACTTATGAGTCTCAGATATTTGCCTGAAGCTGGGGAGTATAAAGTTTCATCTGCATGTATGAAACAGACTGGCAGCTGCATGCAATTCCACCAAGGGGATGACAAAAAAATCATATTGCAGAAAGGTATTTCAGCTAACATCAGGGAATCATGAATACTGACTAATCCCAATGCAAGAGATGGTGCCTCCAGAGCAGGTGAAAAACTAAAGCTGGTATCTCCCACATTCCTTGCAATCCACATTATCCATCTCTGGATAATGGCTTAAATGCAGTTTCTATTGATTGTAAAGTAATGACCATAAAAAGTGACAAACTAAATGTAAGCCTGGATCAGTAATTTGGGTTTAATCTTACTAAGAAATGCAAGTATGATAAAATTATTCAAGTAGCTAAAATAATTTATGGAACAACACTGTTCCAGATTGTCAGTGATCAACAGTCAGTATAGCTATAAGCAATAACATTTTCCATACCTGTTTGCATATCTCAACGTATTTAGAGTGTTTTCACATGATGCCATGCCCGGAGAAATTGTAGCAATCTGGAGAAAACAAGCCACATATTAATAAATCACTTTGTCCAGATGAAAGGGTAGATGAATTAAAATGATTTTTTTAATCTCTACTTTCATTTGATATCTTCTACAAAAACTGTCTATGTACAGCTGTCCTTACACTATGACATTTCAAGAAGACAGATGTCAAGTCAAAGCTCAATTTAAAACTTTTTTAGCCATACCCAGATCGAGAACTCCCAGAGATCCAGACAACTTCCCCCATCTCACTGTCTTAGTAAGATAATATGTAAATGCAAAACTAACAAAAATAAAAAAGACTCCTCAAAAGGGAAATACACAATGCAATATAAAGTAAGTCTAATACACTCTCCAAACAATTACGACAAAGAAAGCCAACAAAACTGGTGAAGGGCCTGCAGCACAAGTCTTACTTGAGCTTGTTTAGTCTAAAGAAAAGCAGGGGGAGGGAGAGAGCTTAATGCTTTCTACAACTATTTGAAAGGAGGTTGTAGAGAGGTGGGTGTGGGTCTCCTCTCACAAGTTACAACTGATAGGACAAGAGGAAATGGTGCCAAGTTATGCCAAGGAGGTTTAGATTAGACATTAGGAAAAACTTCTATACTGAAAGGGTTACCACAGACTAGAACAGGCTGCCCAGGGAAGGGCTTCAATCACCATCCTTGGATGTATTTAAAAGCCATCTAGGTATGGTGCTTAGGGACATGGTTTAGAAGTGGGCATGGCAGCGTTAGACTAACAGTTGGACTTGATCTTAAAGGTCTTTTCCAACCATAATGGTTCTATGATTATTTTTTTTTACATTTATCTTTGTAGGTTGTTCTCCATTCAAGGTGACTGTATACTAATTTGACAGATCTTTTTTGGTCACAGTCCAAAACTGTATTTAATAATAAAGATAAGCATGTGTTTAACTATTTTCCTAAGGAAAGATTTTTTTTTCACAATTAGAAGCTATCTGTAGACAATACTTGATAGCTAACTTATTATTAGACATATCTGGAATCTATAGGTCTTCCTTTTTCCACTTAAATAAAATACACCTTCTTTCCAGCACTCGGCAAAAATAGTAACTGATCAGGTAACAGTAGCATCATTATTTGTTCTAGAGTCTCTCAGTAGTCCATTTTTTTAAATACGTGCTTCTTTCAAGAGAGCCATTAAGGCACTACCCAGTACAAACACCTCTGTGATACTATACACTAACACTTTTTGTGGCAGCACTGCATTAGGAGACTGAAACTGATGAAGATTAGATAATCCCAGTCTTCCCTTTCATCCTGGTACTGGCATTACTGTACAACCATGGGTAGTAATCCTGAGAGGAATTACTCCAACTAAGAAGAAAGGAAAAATACATAGTGGGAGTGGGTTAGAAAGTCTAAAGAGTTTGCTACCATGCAGACGTAAGTTTAAACCTCTGATAGTGGTACACATCAGTTACTAATGAAAACAAGCACAGATTTAAAAAGAACATATGATTGCATGTCTCTTTATAAAGTATTCTGGGTGCTAATCAACAAAAACCTGCAAGTTCTGAAAACTTTTCCAAATTCACTGAATGTGAAATATGCGTGCATCTCTTCCAACAGTTCAATGTCCAGAGCACACCACACACGGCAACTGCCGTGGCATCTGGGTACCGCTCCAACATTGCGAATTACGTAAGGTACAGATGCGATGGAGAAGTACCACCACAGGCACTGTCAGCTGTGTAGATACTCCACCAGGGCACAAGAACCCACACAAAAGACTCAATGTACTACAGCACAGATTCTCATGCCCCAGCAAGCCCAGTCCAGGCAGGACAAGAGGACTCCGCCCTCTCTGTTGCTCACTTCCTCATTCATAATTCCAAATGATGATGGAAAAAGCTGGACTATTTACCAGCAGGAGTATCTTTAAGCCATGTAATTACCATTATTCCTATTTCAAAGGTGCCTACATTGCTTATAAGCCATCACAGTGTGACCCAATGGCCTTTCTGGGACACTGAAGTCTGCAAGTTCCTACTCCTGGCACTTCAGCTATGTTTGCAGCGTGTCAAGGATGCAACACATTAAGGACACAGCACTGGTTAAAAAAATGAGACCATTCAACATAGCTACCTTGCAAATTTCAAATGATGGTCCATTATCCTACTATGTAACTCTTCAAAGAACAACTTTAAATGGTTTTTGGAACTATTTAAAGACAAGAACCTCAGTAAAACTGCAATGACTAATAAAGTTCAAAACCACCTATTTATGCTGACTGTGTATGTCTCTGGATTCTTTTAGAATGAAGCAGATCCTAGTCCTAACTGTCTACATTAAAGTTATTTTCAAAATAATTTTCTGAAATTTGAAAAAAGCCACAAAAAATTTCAAATCATAGTTTATCCTTGTATACAGATGAGAATGCTCTTCTTATAAAGAAGCTGGGAGGAGAGGGATGGTATGAATTAAATCCTTGGCTTTATTGTAAACATTGTTAGGCAACAACTAAACACTGGTGCGTTATCAGATTATTCTAAGCACAAATCCAAAACAGTCTCATACTGTGAAGGAAAATTAACTCTATCTCAGCTAAAAGCAGCACAGACAGTCCTAACAGTTATAACTAAGATGTTATTCTATGCTTTCATTTACTTCAAAAAGTAGACACTTCCAGAGAACATAGCAACCAACTGCAGGAACGTGAAAGGAACCTAATCATTATTAATCTATTTTTGCAATCATTTATTGAAGTTTGAAGCAGCACACTTACATAGTTCTGCTGCAAACTAGCACTCAGCACACCTGCAGTATGTTATTAATAAAATATTAATATGTTATTTCATAAAATATTGTTCAACTTTAGCTATCACATATGAACAGGCTTTAAAATCAGGCATGCCCTGCCAAGGAGCCAGTGTAAATACCACACTGGAAGGCTGAATAAATTGTCTTTGGGAAGATACAGACAGGAATGTTTTCATAAATAAGGAGGTGGCAATGTGGCTTGGGAGGCATCAGTCAGGATTTAGGGTGCCTGAGGGGGCTGACTCATAGGGGTTAAAAATAAACTTTTGTACTTTTAGTTTTCAAGTTAAATGCACCTGTTTAATAGGTTTATAAGTGTTAATCTTTCCACCCTGGACGGCATAAAGTTGGAGTTAATTATACATCCAATGTATGTAACATATTAAGCAGTAACATATTAAGGAGAAATAGGTACTAGGTGGCCCAGAAAGTCTGTACTCTCCAAGTACCTCAGCCAATTGGGTAAAAGAGGAGTCACATGCTGTCGGACAGCTGGGGGGCAAAAGGGGCTGCACCCAGCAGCCATTTTGAGAGACCCCACCAGGGAACACCACCTGGTGGACTCTCCCTTTATTCGGATAAAGATTATTACTATTATTATCATCATCATCATCATCTTTTTTTTTGTTTTGTTTTGATTTTTTGTTTTTCTGACTTCTCTGTCTCCTTTTGTGAGCATTCACCTCTGTCAGTGGGATTTTCCATACATCTCTGTAAAAGAGGCAAAGGAAGATCCAGGAGAGAGGTGAAGCTGCTTGTGATTACTATTCCCACCACTTGGCCACTGGAGTGTAAACCTCCTCTCTTCTTTCCAGGGCGCTGGAGAGCACTGGAGGTAATTACAGACTAAGGTATCTTCTATACCTCCCAACCACCCAAGCGTTCTTCTTCCCACATCAATATGTTAAGAAAACACTTTGGTGATTAAATTCTTGATAAAAATTACAAGTAAACATACACTAAAACCAGAATGTCACAAGTGGTCCTAATACTAAGAAAGTACATGAAAAGGTAACAGCGGATCGCATTTGAAAGCAGTATCACATAATGAAAGAGTTTTCTTACTATTATTTGTAAAGTTACTCTAGTTATGTGAATGAGAAGATAAAAAAATAATTTAAGCATATTTCCACTCACTTTCAGAGGGGATTTTTTCCCTTAATTTAGAACGATACTGAATATAGAATAAAGGAATGAAAACTTTACCAGAAATTGAACATTCGTAGATCATGGATTATTCCCACTGGCATTCTCACACATTTGAAATGGTAAAAAGTGTTATGATAACTCTTATGCAGAGTAATAATTAAATAAAAAAGCTTCACTAAAACAAAGACAGTTTGCAAGCTCTTTAAGGAAGTAAGAGTGACAGTGAGAATGAAATGAATATTCACAAATGTTAATTATTCTATGTACAGAGAGTAATTTCCAACAGGCTAACTTTCCAAACCTCCTTCAGTGGTATGGATACACTAATAAGAGATGCACAAATTAGCTTCATGATCCTACACAGGTTTTATTAAGTTATAGAATCTTAGAATCCTAGAATAATTTGGGTTGGAAAGGACCTTCATAGATCTTTAGTCCAACCCCCTGCAGTGAGCAGGGACAATGTTACTAGATCAGGTAGCTCAGAGCTTCAACTAGACCAGGTATATCTCAGTGGAAAAAGAAAACAATCCTGTCTTTTCATTGGAAAACAGAGGGAGAACAGAGATTAATAAAAAATGCTATTTTACCATCATCTTCAAATTAGAACCAGACCTAACAGCTAAAGGGAAGACTAGGCTGTTCTAACAACATGGTTTTCATGTTGTGGTCTGCATGTCCCTAGCCTCTAGACTAATTCCAAGGAGTCTGTGAAAAGTAATCAACACAAACAAGCCTAGCAATCTCTGTCCACTGTAGAGTGTGCATTTCCATAAGGAGAAATGTTAAGGATGCACACATAAAACAACTGGACATCAGTGCTTTTATCTGTTCTTCCCACCACCTGGCAGAATAATTTTGGGTTTTTTTCAGACTGATGCAAATGCACATTTATACAACACACAACTATTCATCCCACCTATCCCAACCACTTCCCCCCTCAACAGCCTAGAGCATATGCTAATGCCTTTGATACCAACTTGATATTCGTTTTTGTCATTTAATGATCATAGCTCACCACTGTGCTTCCAGTCTACACCACTGTAGCAGGATGCTCTGCCTCAGCAAAGGAAACAACTTGACACTTGCCCCACTCTGTGTGCTCTTTCATGAAAGAAAAATACCAGCTGCACTAGACAGTAACGCCGTGCCTTGATGCTGGGAAACTCTGGACCAGCCCGCCCCAGACAGAAAGAAAAACAGAAGTCTGATAAATGAGACAGTTTTCTTGTGAGATGAGAACATTTTGCTAAGCCAGAAGGATGGCTGAGGAAAGAAGTTTTTTGGCTTAGCAACAAATGACTGACAGTCAATCACTTTTATAGAATAAAGCCCAGCTTCATTCTTGATCAGGTGTGATTCTTGCACTTCTGCCATGTGGTGTTTTTTATTCCCCCTCTTTCAGCAAGTACAACCCTTGAACCATTACCCCTCAGAGACTGAGTGAAAGGCTGAATGACCCACAGTCATTGGGTAGGGTAACATAAATTCCTATTCAATAATTAAGCTAGCTTTAAAATACTGCTTTAGTTATTGTTCTAGCAAATGCCAATTAATAAGTAGTTGCTATGGCACTTAGATTGTGTAGTAAATACTTTATGTCCTTAAGACCAATAACATCATTATAATTTATTATAAGATTTTGTTTTGATTGTACATGCAGTCTAGTCTGCCATCCTTAAGCCCGTACAGCACAACCACCTTTCCTAAAATTCTGAGTCAGCAAACAATACCCTCATACAATTAAGACATCATTAAAAATAAACAAACAAAGAAAACTTCAAGATAGAAGACTTTCTTGCTAGGCACCAGAATAAGCAATAAAGCCGGCCAATAAAAAATGACAAAGAAGCAAGTTACCTGAAATGTCTCTGCTGAAACTCTCACTCCACATACAGTGTCAGTGGATAAATTTGCCGGTAGCAAGTGACCACTTTTAAACATAAAAGCCTAAATTTCCAGCTTCTTTTATCTTTGTAATTGTTAGAACAATTGTTAGAACTTAACCAGATCAACTTACCATACATGTACGGGAGTTTTCTCCTATGAATGAATCTCTTAGCACCTGAGTAAGTTTACTTGCTCTGAAGGGTGTATGAGGTTTATTTCGGCCTAAGGCTCTAATGCACTCCTGAAAGAATAAATGGATTTATGCAGTTTTTTTGACACAAGTTAAATAAACACAATACAAATGTAATTCAAAATCAGAAAATACATGCCCTAATTGTGTTGCTGTCCCTTAAAATCTTAAAATTTATCATTAAAGCTTGGATGCAAGAAGTCGTAGGCTTTTTACCTCTCATTAAGTTCAGCAAAGAGGCAGGAACTTAAAGGGGACTTAGGAGCCTTAAAAACTTCCTGAAACTCATCCGAAGTGTTTACATATATTGTATTCAACAAGAACAGCATTGATGGTCAACGTCCAAACTAACAATTATTTCTGATTATCAGCTGCAAAAGCCTGAATGATCTACAAATTCCACCAGCAGAGGCAGCGCGGACAGAGACATACGTTAACTCCATCAATTAAAAGAAGTAGCTTTGATTCTGGCTAAACCGGAGACTTTTACAGCTCAGAAGAAAAACTTTCTGCAAGCTTCCACAGGTCACAAACCTAGTGAGCACAGCTCTCTATTGATGCACGCAGTGTTAGAGGAGACTTGAAAATGTCAGACATTCCCTGTTTTAAAATATTCTTCATGTGAAAAACAGGGATATGGTCCCCTCTTTCACTCACAAGGGTAGGAGGCTAACCTAATATTTGCAATTGGTTGGAGAGTTCCAGTGAGAAATACTGTACAGATATAAATATTATGAAATAACTACAGAAGTTCCAGCAGCAACTAAGTACAACAGTGCAAACCCAAGATCATACCAATCTAAACATCACTTCTGCCCACTCAGAGCTCTTAACATCAGCTAATAAATTATTTCTTATGCAAAGAAAGCTTTAAATTTAAAGTTCTGTGGTGCTGTCATCACATTTTGATCATTAATTCTTCTGCCTTTGCCTTAATACTTCATGTATAGATATATCTCTTCAGATGGATGGCTTCCTTGGTACAATCTAGACACACAACTTCAAACAACTGTATCTCAAAAGCTTTTGAAATTAAAGCTTTGCTTTTAGCAGTACTAACAGATAGAATGGCTTTTGTGCTACATTAGAAGTTCTACAGTAGTACATCTAATCCTTCAGCTGCAGCCATATCCTGGTGGCCTTTCGAAATTTCCCAGCAACAGCTTCTTCAAAAAGCCAGGTTAGAGACTCTGGGATGATAATCCAAGCAAGCATAGCAGCTGTGAAGCATCATAAAACAGAACTAAAAATGCACTCAGAATAAGACTGCCATGGTATAGAACATCAAGTTGAATTTTATAGAATGGACACAGCTCAGATAAACAGAAAGACCAAAGCTTGCTGAATGTGAATTTCACATGCAAATGCTAAAAAGGACTCAATACTTTTAGGTGAGCAAGGCAGTGCATACCCTGGAATTTTTGAATTTGTACACTAATACTAGTTACATGAAGAGAAAAGCAGATTAGATAAGAAGAGAGGCAACAGATTTTTCAGCAAGTGACATCACAAACTAAAACCAATAACAATGTGTACGCTGAATTACTGATATGGCAACCAACAAGTTTAATGAAGATATTTTAATTTAATGTAATGATTTTTAGTTTGTTTACTCCTGAACAATTAGAATTGGATTATTTCCTTATCAGGAAAAGGTAGGGACAGGAGGACGGTGCCAGCTTTAAAATTAATAGAGTTTTTAACTACTTTTGCTTTCCATCACAGCTCAGAAAAATGAGGTAACAAAACAACAACATTACTTCAATGTAGAGACATTAAGGAAATAACTTCCTGTATCAAAAATCTGAACAGGTTAAGACAGGATTGTCTTAACAGGATGCAAATAGCAAATCTTGGATTAGCACCAAAGACCTCTCCTCAGAATTTACTAGTTTAATTTATACTTGACAATAACTTCAAGGGTCTTGAATGCAAATGGATAAAGCTGTGTAACGTTTCTGGGAATAGGTGAAAAATGGAAAATAAACGTATCATTGAGAAAACTGTATCTTCTTGTTCTTCTGTTCAGACCTCTGCAAGGCCTCCGCTTATATTTATTTACCTTTCCTTATATAATTTACATCACAACCAGTAGTATGGGAGCAACAGAAACTTTCACTATAATCAGTAAGAAAAGCTGTATGAAAATGATTTAAGCATGCTGTACAGGTATTGCACTAAAGGCAAGACGTAAACTAAAAAAAAAACAAATCACCAAGTCAAATCAGCTTTACTCAATTACAGTTGGAAACAAGTGATAATGTTACCAGAGTGTTGCTTGCATTATTTACTTCCGATGCTAAATCAAAACAGGCCATATTTTTAGAAGTTCTACTTCCAGTGTTTCCACATGCCATACAATTTTGTAGTGAGACAGTACACATTACAATTTTATGTTATTTTCTGACATTTACTTAAGAGTCAGATAAAAGTCTTCTTCCAAGAAGAAGGAGATTAAAAAAAAGTAAGCACAGCAATTTTGGGTTTCAGATTCTTTATGACAGTAATAAACCTAAGCAAAACTAACCAACAACAGAAATAAATCCTGACACATTCAAAACTACAGTTTACCCAGTTGAGAACAAACATTTACTTTCCCTATGTAGACTGAACATCTTTGAAGCATTATAAAACAAAACAAAATCCAGCATATTAACATTTAAATAGTATTTCTTAGCTCTCTTGATACGTCCTGGATTAATGTATGAAAATCTGTAAAGTGACTGTATAAAGAGGTCAAAACCAGATCTCAACTTTCAAGGGTTATTTTAATCTATTTGTTAGCTCCTTCTGGACATTTGCTGCTCTGTTACTTTAATGAATTAATAGCAGTAAATAAATAAATGTAACTTCATTTCTTATTAAGAAAAAAAGGAAGTAAGTATTTAGATAATTCAGAATATTTCCAGTTAGTACTTCAGACCTTAAGTACAAAAGTCAGTCCTCTTTCCTCCCATTTTAGACATATACCAGAAAAGTTGTCAAATTCAATCACTGGGGACTTTTTGCTGAGGGTTTGTTGTTTGGTTGTTTTTTCAAACTACATGCAGGTTGATGCCACAGTGTTTCTGCATTATTTCTACTTGGTAATTATTGAGTGTTCCTTCAGGCATTTAGAGTAAAAATCAATACATTATTTTACCTGTCACATCAGTAGACAATGTAGACAAGCAAAGCCTGCAAAAATACTCATTTTAATAGTCATTGCTATTCCATGTAGAAGGTTCCACCTACTCAAAGGCAATGGAAACATTTCAGTTACCTTGAGTGCTAAAAGGCTCTTGTTAATTTCTGCACCTTCCAGTCGTGTCTGCCTGTCTGCACTGGAAGTATCTGCTCCTCTTTCATTGCCAGCCAAGTCAATCAGAGAAAATTTACCATACATTTTCCCTTTCCTTCTGAGAATAATCTGAAATACGGCATGACTTCGAGATGAGTGTGCATTTGCAGACGTCTGGCCAGAAGTCCTTTTCACAAAAGGAAAGAAAAGAAGGACATATGAAAAGGCAAAGGATCATACACGTTAAACACACTAACCACAGGATATTAGATTTTTCAGGGCAGAGTCCTGTATTTTCCTACATGTGCTGACAGTATGACTAACATTCTTCTGGACACTAGAGATACAAGCCTAATAACTGGATGTACACAGTACAGTTATACCTCTTTTTTGCCATCTCTTCATACAGATATGGAAGATAAGTAACATTTCACCTCCCTTTTGAAAGCAAGAATAATCACATCTTCAAAACTTTCAGATTATCAGAGATCTTACATGCAAAATGCCGATGGTATTTTTATCTGACCAGGCAGATCAGATGCACAAGGCTAACTTTAAAAACAAAGAAGCTGGATTCTTAAAAAAAAAATGCTTAACCTGTCACTCCATATCAAGGCCTTTTAGAGATGAAGAATCTGGCAGTATTCCAGATATTAAATGATGTGAATTTAAGTTGGTAAGCTGCTTACATAATGCATGGAATTCACATAGTGTAGAAAAATCAGGTTTTTACACCCTAGGAGACAGAGAAACTGCAAACATCTTTATTTAAAGGATAGACAGTTTCTGTACTTGCAGCCAACATCAAAGCCATCGCATATTAGAAAGCAGTAATTATGAAGAGACCCAAAAAAATCTTGTTCTGATTCTTTAATGTACAATGAAAAACTGGTGTAAGCTATGGCAGATACCTGCAGCTGTTGCCTATATCAATAAGTTTAAGAACATCTTCAACACATTTGACTTCCCGTTCCTGTAATCCCACCACCTGGACTTGCTGTTTACCATCTTCTAACACTCTCAATTTTGTCTTCCTGTTCAACAAATCAAAAACCTTAGGGAGGAGGGGAAAACAGAACAGTTAAAGAGGAACTTTAAAGGACACTTTTGTTTCAAATCCCATATAAAAATATGCAAAAGCATTCCACATAAAAACATGACTGGAAGGGAAGTGTAATGAATTATTTGAAATAAAGCTTGTAGTACAAAGAGGAAAAAAATATTTCATGTGACAAACTCAAAATCTTGTTTGTGAAAAAGAAATTCCCCCTTCCACAGAGAAAGATCAGGTCCTTACCTTACCACTGTAGATCTCAAAAAATGTTGCATTTACTTGAAGTTCTAACTTCTTATATTTTGGTTTCTTTAACATTAAAAAGACATCTCGAGCTGTGAATACATTTCCAAAATAAACAGGAATCCTGTTATGTATTTTCTTTTACTGAAGACTTATGAGTGCATAACAGTCTATTTTACAGCATCTCTCATATTTTGAAAGTGTAACAGATAGGGTCGATCAAACAAGTCTAAAACACTGTAGTTCAAATCACCACATTACATTGGAAGATGCGGGAGACCCCAAAATGATAAACTTAATTAATCATCCATTATATTTATTACATTTTTGAAGTCGTCTATACATACACTTTACTGTGCAAAGACTACACATCTAGGAAGTACATCTAGGAAGTACTTTTGATGTTACCATAGCTCAAATGTAATACAAAACATACAGACCTTTATGTTTGCACAACTAGGAGTAGCAAATTTATTAATCTCACCTAATCTGCAAAAACCCAACAGATGGATAAAGTCTCACCTGCAAGTGCATATATCCCCTTAGAACAATCTTGGTTCTTTCCTGAAAAGTCACCACCCATAGTCTAAATTTAAAAAAAAAAAAAAATAAAATTAAAAATATACTAATATACTACAAAAATCACAGAACTGTAACTTATGTATTTGTTACTTATTAGAATTTATCCAAGTGTATGACATACAAAAAGAAGTGTAGTGCTAACATATAGAAGAAATACTTACATGGGTTTTTCCACTGCCTGTCTGCCCATATGCAAAACAAGTGGCCATTCCCTTTTCAAAAAGGGTCTCCACTAGTGGTCGAGCTGTATACCTTAAATGCAAAAACCAACAGTACATAAGAAACTGAATTATTTTAAAATGCTACTACCACAAGGACGCTAAAAATTTTAAAGCCAGAAGTGACAAAACTGGTCGTACTTTGACAGGCCAAAGGACATCTCCACATTAATTTCTGAACTACAGAGACTACCTGCCTAAAATCTCAATCAGATAAAAGCTAAAAGGTTGCTCCCATTTATTTTACAACAATACTATTCTCCTTTAAAACCTAAGAAAAAATAATTTCTTTGTTTTAATTATGCAACACAGCACAGCTTACCCCATAGAGTTTGGAGCTCCCTAAAGAAGACAGAATTAGAAGACATTGAAATAAAACAGTGGACCAGATACTTAGGTTTTGCCAATACTAAAATTCTGCTATAGTTTAATTTCTGTTTTTGTTTTCCTACCCAAATAAGCTATCAAGATTAAATTTGGAAGACAAATGGCTAACACAACAAAGCACATCTTAATATTCTGACAACATACATATATGCAGAAAAGGTGAAATAAAATGGTACCAAGCTCTTCAGAATGGAAAAATCTAGTTCTCTGAAGTGCTATATGATGTGTTAAAAAATATTATCCAAAGTATCATTTTTCTATTTTAGAGAATTAATTTTTACTTTAAAAACCACAGAGTTATTGCTCCTACTTCAGCTGCTTATCACCATTATTTAATAAAACATTTAAAAAGGATAAACTAATGGAGGGTTACTAATGGAGGTAGGAGTCTCTCTGTAAAAGACTCAGCTTTTTCCAGGTGTTCACACATAAAGCACCTTTAAGTAACAGAAACATTTGATCTGGATGAGGGGATTGAGTGCTCCC